GCGCCAGTACAAAGTTAATTATAACTTCTAAGTACTCCATTGCCAAGCCCTCATCCTCCTCCCCTGCCTGCATCTGCTAAGGGTAGTGCCACTTAATGAATGGGCATATCATGTGCTCACAGACCCCTCGATTCTCTATTCCACCATCACCACTTGGCACCTCAGTGCCAGGCTGGGCTTGGCTCTGAGGACCCATGCTGACCAGGGCATGGTCTCAGCCCTGGAGGGGCTCACAGAAGTTGCAGGAGGAAGGGGTCCAGGAGGCACCCACAGCAGCTCAGCAGGTGACACAGTGGGCAGATGGGACAGTGGGCAGGACAGACAACAGCAGTGTCAAAATCACAATAGATGACTACAGACATCAGCCTCAAAGGGAAAGGAGAGGGGACAGACAGAGGAGCCCTGACTGAGAGGGTCCCAAACGCCACAGTGGAGTGCTTCATCTTACTACGTAGCCTAAGGAGATGGATCAGAGGTTTAGGAGTCCAGTTTGGGATAGAACTACTCTAAAACCCTGGCAGACACCCAGGAGGAGGTGTTTTGTAAGAAGACCAGATGATGCAGTGGCTGGATCAGAGAGACGAGGCATTCTGCAGGTGAAGATGGAGTGAGAGCTGAGGGGTCTGAGTGTTTAGTTATCACCTGGAAAGAAGGTAGCTGAAAGGCCTAAGGATGGACCCTAGGAGGAGCACCCTTTGGTGGGCAGGAGGGGAATGAAGAACGAAAGGAGGAGCTGGAGAAGGGTCCCAGAGATGGAGGCCACATGGAGGCTGGGGCAGAACCCAGGTTAGACGAGACTGCATCCAGCATCCGGCACCGCAGAGCCGAGAGGAGGAGAGGCCGAGCAATACAAGCCACCCGTGTCCTCTAGGCAGTCACTCCCGAGAAAGCCACCCGTGACCTCTAGGCAGTCACTCCCGAGAAAGCCACCCGTGTCCTCTAGGCAGTCACTCCCGAGAAAGCCACCCGTGACCTCTAGGCAGTCACTCCAGAGAAAGCCACGTGTGTCCTCTAGGTGGTCACTCCCGAGGGCGGTGCAGGGTCCTCAGGTTGTGGGGGCTGGAACGGGGGCAGTGAGGGCTGCGGAGGCTGCAGGCTTCCTGTGGCCGGGGGTGGGGAGGCCAGCCTGGCACCTGCCAGCCACAGAGAGGGAACCTTCTGGCATCAGGCAAATCCCAGCTCAGGAACTGACAGCTCTTGCAGGCATAACTGTCACTCAGAGACGGCAGCAGAATTTGGACCCAGCATTCTTGCCTTGGGAAAGAAGTGGGTGGTGTCAGGGCCTTGGGGTCAGGGGCTGCCTCTGCAGTGCATCCTGGGAGGAGAGTGCTTCTCAGTGCTCAGACTCCCCTCCTGCCCTCAGCACCCTGGCCTCCAGGGGAACCTGCATGCCCACCTGGAATACCTGGCACATTTCATCAGTTCCAGAGCACCCGTGGCCCCAGCTTCTGGCTTCTTCCTTGAGACTCCAACTCGACCTACGCTCCCTGAGTATTCTCAGATGGCTTTCCAAGTCCTGTGTGACAACAGCGATGGCTCATAGTGGTCTGCATCACAGCACTGCCCACCTTGAAGCCCCCATTTACTGGAGGCCCACCCAGAGGCATTCAGGCATACCCTGCCCTGCTGGTGTCACCGTGGCCAGCTCACAGACAGGGCTGGGTCAGCGGGGTCCACGTGCCACCCATGGCTGCACATTCCTCTCTGTCCAGGGCTTCTCTAGCTGGCGCTGGGCACGAAGCCTTGACCCTGCTCTCCAGGAGCTGATGGTGAAGGTGGGAGACACCCCTGCCGCTGCCACAAGATGAGAGCCACCACCAGAGCCTAGACTGGGAGCTCTGGGCATACAGAGGAGGAGGGAACAGCTCTGCTCTGGATATAGAACAGCACCCAGCACATACTAAATGCTCAGTAAACTTGAGCTTCAGAGAAAAATACCCCTAGCCAAATGCACGGAATAGGTACACAGTCCACCTCTCAGCCATGATCACCAAACCCTGGGGACCTGAGCCACCCAAAGTGTCTTGCTTTGTTCGGTGGGTGAGTTCCCAAAATACCAGCTGCAAAGGGGCTTCTGTTCACACTGTCACTCACAGGCAAATGCTCCTCAGTCTGAAGACCGTTCCTCCTTGAAGGAGGGCCCTGACATCTGCAAACACTTCAAGGCAGCAGAGGGGCGAGGCCTGGGGTAAAGAACCTTTTGTAAAAGGAAGACCCCTTTACAAGTTGTTAAGTGCACACTTTCCACACCTAGTAACCCAGGCAAATAAAAATTAGCCGACTACAAGTATGCATTGTCCGGAAGATCTCCAAACGCCCATGGGAGGGCATTCATTGTTCTATTAGAGGCAGGTAGAGAGGGCCAGGCGCATTAGCTCACGCCTGTAATCCCAGCATTTTGGGAGGCTGAGGCTGGTGGATCACTTGCGGTCAGGAGTTCGAGACCAGCCTGGCCAACTGATGAAATCCCGTCTACTAAAAATACAAAAGTTAGCCAGGCTTCATGGCACATGCCTGTAATCCCAGCTACTTGAGAGGCTGAGGCAGGAGAGTCGCTTGAACACAGGAGGCAAAGGTTGCGGTGAGCCAAGATCACGCCACTACACTCCAGCCTGGGAAACAGAGGGAAATTCAGTCTCAAAAAAAAGACAGGTAGAGAGAGCTTTCTAAATGGCCCATTTCCATGGGCTGGCCCTCCCAAGCTAAAACACTTCCCTGCACCCCACCCCTGCCCCACCACCGCCACCTATAGAGTCGCAGTCACACCCATCCCCGTTCCAGCCCCAGCACCCTCCAAACCCCCCTGCCTCAGCCACAGCACGCCATTCCTCCTTGCAAGTGCCCCACAGCACACTGTGGCCTCAGCCGTCCCCCTCGTGAAACTCCTCTCTTTCCTCTGCAGCCACCCAACCCCTCTGTTGAGGCCCAGGCCCCAAGTCAGCTACTCCAGGAAGCCTTCCCCCACCCACAGTTAGCCACCATCAGCACCTGCATGCTGATCCCACAGCCTTTGGTGCCCACACCCACAATTATCTGGTTCATTCCCTCACTCCATGCTGACACGGGCACCTAGAAGTCCAGGCTGTGTGTGAGAGACAGTCCTCACCCTTCAGAATCTCCATTCTCCTCTGTCAAATAGGGATTCAAAGGGTACCCACCTCAAATAGCTGTTCCCAAATTCAACAAGGCAGAGTTGATGAGAGCCTGCCGCCCAGTGCCTGGCACACAGTGGAGGCTTGGCCCAGGGCGACTCCGGCCTCTCTGCCTTGGAAATGGCCTCTTGACGCAACCAAGCGGAGCCTCCTGTCTTTTCAAACCCATGGCAGATGGGGCAAGCAGCGTCCCTCGGGGAAGGATCCCCTCCTCAAAGGCAGCCCAGACCTGACGCCAGTGTGGCCAAGGTGAGAATCTCAGAGCAGGCCTGCAGGAGCCCTCTCCCCCGGCCTGCATTTCCTTCAGCCCAAACAGAGCCTTTGATTAGAATTTCCCATTTGAAAAATCAATATTTAAAGCCCTCTGCCTGCCAAACAGAAGGGAAGGCCTTGCTTGTAAATATTTGTCTCGCCTGGCAGAGTCGGGCCCCTGGCTCGCCGCGGCCGCCCTGCCTCACTCCTGGCCCTATGCTCATGCAGTCCCAGCCAACTGCACAGCGGGATGGCCCTGGGGAGGCAGAAGGGACCGTCTGGCAGCCACGTGGAGCTTCGCAGGAAGGTGAGTGGCCCTGCACCCACGCCTCCACGGCAGCAGGCCTGGGTGCTGGGCTGCACAGCGACCGTCCATCTGTCTTCCCAGGGCGGGAACAGAGATGCCTCACTGTGAGGTAACTCTGGATTCCAAGGCAAGTGAGTTCTCCCAGGAAGTCCCCCAGGTTTATTTCTTATTTTGGAAAAAAAGCACAAAGATAAAACCCAGGGGCTGTGCTTATAAATGACTACCCGCCATGGCGCCACTGTGTGGGAAAGGGCTCTGCTACTGAGACCAGCAGCTGCTGCCCACCTCTGGTCCCTGGAGAAACCATCTCCGTGGCCCTGGGTGACTGAGCTATGACGAACCAGCTGAGCACCCACCCTGACACCACCGTTCTCAGTGTCATTCATTCATTTGCTGGCTCAGCCATTCATTCATTCATTCATCTTTTTTTTTTTTTTTTTTTTGGAGACAGTATCTCTCTGTCACCAGGCTGGAGTGCAGTGATGTGATCTCAGCTCACTGCAACCTCCACCTCTCAGTTCAAGCGATTCTCCTGCTTCAGCGTCCCAAGTAGCTGGGATTACAGGTGCTCGCCACCACATCCAGCTAATTTTTTGTATTTTTAGTAGAGACAAGCTTTCACCATGTTGGACAGGCTGGTCTCAAACTCCTGACCTCAGGTGATCCACTCGCCTCGGCTTCCCAAAGTGCTGGGATTACAAGTGTGAGCCACCACGCCCGGCCTCATTCATCAATTCATCCTTCCTCAGTTTGAAGCCCATTCCTCCTTGAGTGGGGGCCCTGATATCTGCAAACACTTTGAGGCAGCAGAGGGGGGGGCGAGGCCTGGGGCAAAGAACCTTGTGTAAAACGAAGACCCCTTTACAAGGTATAAGTTCACACTTTCCACACATAGTAACCCAGGAAAATAAAAGTCAGCCAAACTACAAATATTAATTATCCAGAAGGTGTCCTCCCAAACACCCCTACCTTTTCCAAGCACTGGGGCCTAGACTTTCAAAGGGACAGAGACATGAGCAAAGTCTCTTTGGGAGGGGGTCTTCCAGGCCAAAAATAAATCTCACAAACAAATGGCAAGTCACAACCAAGGCAGGTGCTGAAAGAGGAGAGGTCCCAGGCGGATGGGAGAGAAAGGGGCTTCTGGTCGCAGAGGTCACAGAGGCTGATGACACAAGCACAGGTGAAGCAGGAGGGAAAGGTAGCCAGGGAGGGTGGCAGCCTCGGGAGCTGGCAGGAGCTTCCTGCTTCCTGCTCAGCACATCCACCCACCCAGGGCAGGAGGGACCTACCCAGCCACTCGTTGAATTTCTTCACCTCGCTTGGGAGCCCCAGCTCAGTGAAGTCCCCAGCATGGATCAGCACGTCGCCATATGGCATCTGGATGGGGTCTGTCCTCGAATGGGTGTCAGAGACGCAGACGAAGCGGGTGTAGCCTGGAGGTTTGGGGGCATCATGAGGCACCGGGTCGACCCTGCCGGGAGAGAAGACACTGCGGGTCAGGAGGTCGTGGAGCTGCGGGCCTGCGGGTGGTGCCTCCTCAGCCCCGTCCACGGCAGCTCAGCCCTGTCAATGCCCGTCAGATCCACCAGACCAGGGCCTGGACGCCCAGCGGGCCCCCCAGTCCAATGCTGGACTTCCTTCCTCACTAGCCAGGCAAAGCTTATTTGGCACCTTCAGTTTCCCTGTCTGTAACACAGAAACCTCAGAGGGTAGCGGTGAAGGTTAAAAGGGGAAAGAACAGGCGCCGCGATAACTGCCCTCTGAGCGGAATCGCTGCACAGCTGCCTGCCTTTGGTTCACCATCACCCCCAGAGAGGCCTTTTCAAGATGTCTTCTCTTTCCCCAGACTCACCTCCCTCCCGTGAAGCTTTAGCAGCACAGAGATGTCAGACCTGTGTTCGGGTCACTCATGTCCACCTCTGCTTTAGCAGCACAGAGATGTCAGACCTGTGTTCAGGTCTCTCATGTCACCTCTGCTTTAGCAGCACAGAGATGTCAGACCTGTGTTCAGGTCACTCATGTCACCTCTGCTTTAGCAGCACAGAGATGTCAGACCTGTGTTCAGGTCACTCATGTCACCTCTGCTTTAGCAGCACAGAGATGTCAGACCTGTGTTCAGGTCACTCATGTCACCTCTGCTTTAGCAGCACAGAGATGTCAGACCTGTGTTCGGGTCACTCATGTCCACCTCTGCTTTAGAAGAGAAAGATGTTCTTTTCACTTCCCAAGCACCAGATTTTACCCCTTGGGGGCACTGTGGCCCCCACTGAGACCACATGGAGTAAAGGCCTACCAGCACGAGGTGAGTATGACCCCCGAGGCTGTGCAGGCAGGGCGCATTCACCACTGGGGGTGGGGGCAGGTTCAGGAGAACATGTGAAATACGCCTAAAGGAAAGGTGTCCGTTTTTTAAAACTATAAGACAGTGTGATCATTTCTACACCAAGGACCTTCCAGGGCTGCGTCAGAAAACACTCTTGGAGTCACAGAAGATCAGGCTTTACATAGCCCAGGTCTGCACATCTGTCAAGTGAAGCTACTCCACTGAGCAAAAATAACATTTTAAAAAGCAGCACAGGCCGGGCATGGTGACTCACGCCTGTAATCCCAGCACTTTGGGAGGCTGAGGCGGGAGGATCATGAGGTCAGGAGTTTGTGACCAGCCTGACCAACATGGTGAAACCCCATCTCTGCTGAAAATTCAAAAATTAGCTGGGCGTGGTGCCACGTGCCTGTAATTCCAGTAACTCAGGAGGCTGAGGCAGGAAAATCGCTTGAACCCAGGAGGCGGAGGTTGCAGTGAACTGAGATCACACCACTGCATTCCAGCCTGGGCGACAGCGTGAGACTCTGTTTCAAAAAAAAAAAAGCAGCACAAATGCAGGTTTTTGTGCCTCAGGAGCCCATCGTGAGGTCCTCTCGTTTGACAGAGGAGGATGCCGAGATCCAGCCGGGCTGAGCAAGTGGCCCTGGGCACCCCCAGTGCAGCAACGTGGACGTGGACTAAGACCCCGGCTCCCCACCCAGTACTGTCTCCACTACATGTCACCTCCCCAGTTGAATGGTTTTACCAGGCTCAAAACTCTTAAAAGCAACGCAATGACATTTCAACAAGCAGCTCTCTCCGAATGAGTATGCCGCTCGAGGAGTTGTGTTTAAATCTAATTATGCGGCAAAGCAAAAGCAGAGCCATATCAGTTACATAAATACTTTTAAAGACATCTTTCTAATTATCCTTTTTTTTTTCAGACAATATACTTCGAAGAAATTTAATTAACACCTTACGAGAGACGTGGGTTCGGCATGCTAATGTGCGGGGCGCACTAGCCCGTTCCACGCACCGCAGCCGCAGCCGCAGCCGCAGCCACAGCCTCTCCCCGCCTGACGGATGCATCGGTGGCGGGAACATGCACCCGGGGCCCCTTCCTGGGGGTTGTTTAGCCAAGGGAGAATCCCAGCAAGTCAGAGCTGGGCCGCACTGGGAGGTAAAGGAATCTGAGCCCGATGATGACCCACCAGGGAGGTGCTAGGAGCTCTTCCCCATCTCCTCCCTTCGCTCACTTCACTGAATACGACACATCCTGAATGACGACTGTGTGCCAGCCTCGAGCTCTACGGAGGGCCACAGGGATGAGCCAGGCTGACCCCTACCCACGGGACTGATGGCAGCCCAGGGACTGATGGCAGCAGCAGACTTGGCCAGACAAGACCAATACAGCCAGCACCTTTGATGGGGCAGCAGAGGGGACAGAGCCCAGAGAAGGCGCTAACCTGGCCTGGGGTCTCCTGGAAGCTCCCATCGGGGCAGTGTCTGAGCTGGTCTGGAAGCTGCAATCTCCCTCCCAGGAATTCCCACCACTCCTCTGTCCTCTGGGGCCCCCAACACACCGTGCCGGCCCCACCATCCACAGCTGATCAGACCAAGGGCAGTCAATTGTTACTGTGCTACTGGCCTGCAACAGGAACTCAAGTGAGCCAATCAAATTCATTTGTTCAGATGCTCTCTCTCCTCCCTTTGTCTCTCTCTCTCCCTCTCTCTCCTCCCATTCTCTCTCTTTCCCTCTCTCTCCTCCCTTTCTCTCTCTCGCCCTCTCTTCTCTCTCTCCTTCCTTCTCCTTCCTTTCTCTTTCCCTCTCCCTCCTCCCTCTCTCTCCCTCTCTCTCCTTCCTCTCTCTCCTCCTATTCTCCCTCCCTCTCCCTCTCTCTCTCCTGCCTCCCTCTCAGTCCCTGTGTGTGTCTCTGTGTCTCTAAGATTTCAAAGATGTCATAAGGTGACAAAGACTAAGTCAAAGACATAACGAGAAGATGAAGAAGGGGGGGAGCACAATTTCACCCCCACCCCCGAGCTGCTGGGACCCTTCCTGGGGGCCACCCTCCCGGGAGCTTCACCTAGCAGAGGAGCCCCGAGCAGCCCCAGCTCCCGCCCGCCACCAGCCAGCCAGGAGCAGTGTGGTTCTCAGGGCTCTGTTTGGGCTGGGCCTGCTGCTGGAGCCAGAGCTGTTTAATTAACTCTGCTCTTACTTCCCTGCACCCCGAGGCTTCTGGAGCACAGAAAACACGCAGACCCAGTCTTCCCCAGAGAAAGAAATAGACTCACATTTCCCGACACAGTCCCCCAGCTGTTTGGATTGAACAAACGCTTGACTTTGAAATAATAACAACAATGATTTCAACGATCCCCACACATCAACAGCTCGTTATGTGCTGGGCACATTATGGGCAGTGGCTCCATTCACTCTCATAATGACCGTCTACGCAGGGTACTACGGGAAGCCCATCTCACAGGTGAGCAAACTGAGGCTCCAAAAAGGCATCCTTATCCATGATCTTAGCTACAAAAGCTGGTGCAGCTGAAATTTGAAGCTGGTTTTTGGTTCCAGAACCCAGACTGGGCTGGACTTTACCAGGCTTGACTTCGTTTCATTCCATCAATCTATGGACGAATCTGACTGAATGCCTCTAAACGCCAGGCACCTGCTTGATATAAGGACACATCTGTGGTCAGAACACCCACAGAGGCCACCGGGATGAAGACCCAGAAACACTGACTATGTCTGCAAGTGAAGAAGAAAGCAAAAAGAGTCAAAATATGGAGAAAGAGTCGGGGGCATAATGGTTCACGCCTATAATCTCTGCACTTTGCGAGGCCAAGGCGGGAGGATCACTTGAGGTCAGGAGTTCGAGACCAATCTGGCCAATGTGGTGAAACCTCAGGTCTACTAAAAATACAAACATTAGCCAGGCATTGTGGTGCGCAGCTGTAGTCCCAGCTACTTGGGCGGTTGAGACAGGAGAATTGTTTGAACCTCGGTGGGGAGAAAGTTACAGTGAGCTGAGATCACGCCACTATACTCCGGCCTGGGTGACCAAGTGAGATTCTGTCTAAAAAATATATTTTAATAAATAAATATATATATATGTAAAGGGAGAGAGAGAAAGAGATAGTAGCCGAGAGGGCATGACTTGAAGATCCAGTAATATCTGAAGCTAGACCCAAACTTGACATTCTTAATACGGGCCAGCAGACTCCTGTTCATCCTTAATGCAACTTACATGCTGTTTCTGATACTTGCAATGACAATGAAAAGTTAGTCCTTGCCCAAGCTCCCAGCTACTAAGTTAGAGAATGGATTTGAACCCAGGACTTCACAACAGGAATCTGGGCATCTAATCTCAACACCTGGTGACCAAAAAAAAAAAAAAATGCAAAATTGTTCTTTCTCAGTGATGTTCTGCAGAGTCCAGAGATAGGGCATGGCAGCAAAGGCTTCTGGGAGCCAAACTCAACTTCCCCAAAGCTTCTGCCTGCTGGGGCGGCTGCGAGGCCCAACACCCGTCACCAGCTCCTCCCAGCCTATGCCCATCTTCCCATAGAATTCCTGGCAGCAGGAACAGTACAGAGGAGAGGACACAGCCTCTGGCGTCAGGCCCCAGGCTGGCACCACAGCTCAGTGACCTTCTCCTCGCTGTGCCCCTGGACCCTACCAGGCTCCAGCCCTGCTCTGTAGGGTAGGGACGAGCCGCTCCCTCTTGGTCATGTTGTTAGAACGTAAGGGACCTTCACAGCTGGAGCCCTGATGCTAACGCCCCGGCAATGCACTCTGCATCCTGTTCTGGGTTCTTTCCCATAAGCCACTGGCTCTGTGGAAGTGCACTTCCTGGTCTCAAAAGCCCAGATGGGCATCAGAAGCAGAAGCTGTCACCCGCCTGTAACCCTATTCCTCCAGAAATGGGGTGCTCAGCCACCCTGGTAAGTCCAGGCAGGAACAGCTTCCAACCACTCGTCCAGCCATGTCACTGGGCATCAATCATGGTGCTTTAGTAGGAAGGGACTAATGGGGAAACTGAGGCCTGGAGAGAAGCCATGACTGGCTAGCTCAGCATCACATAACAACTGCCCCGATTCCTTGCCCAGTACTCTTCTCACAAAGCACTGGATCCAAGGGGACACTGGTCACAGGACCCTCCTGT